GCATATTGCTGGGCATTTGTCAGCTATATCTCAGCATTTCTGCTCGTGAAAAACCTCTTGACAAGGTCCACAGTGGATGCTCAAAAAGGAGATAAAATCATTCAACCAGGGAAGAGAGCTTTCTTCTCTTAACAATTTGAATTGAAGTCAGGTGTCGAGGTTATCACAGCGGACTTGACAAGGTACAGCTAGCACAACTAATTTCACCTGTCAACAGTGGGTGTACTGACACAATGAGATGAGATGGCGTTTTCATGGGTGAGTGGCACAGTGGCGTACATGGAAAACGTTCTACAAGGTAACCAGACTATTTGTAGGTTGTTCCCTCCTCAAAGGATGTGTTCCAACACATCCTCTCCATTAATGAAACTGTTAGCTTTGTATGGAAGGTCTTCGCAGATCGCAGTACGATGATCAACCCAGAACATGGTACTCACTTGTGCTAACATGTGCAGTCACCTAATTATAACAAAATATCCAATGTAATTGGAGTATAACATTACAATTATGCAAGATCAAAATAGCCATTCTTTGTACTTTTAAGTCAAATGATTAATAATGAAGTTGCTTAATTCTGTTAATTTCATTACACTGTATGCTGGATGTGCAAACAAAACCTACAGGGAAAAGGCAAGTGTAGGAGTCAACAGACAGCAGAAGACCATGCATAGTTTGTTCCTGAACCATGATAATGAAGTACTACTGCGAAAAACACCTAGTATAACGTGTAATCAAATCAACTGAGATTTTGATTAACACTGTGACCTTTACAGCCAGTGCTTGTCTGATTCCGTTGAAACAATCTATAAATGAGGAGAGTTTGGCGTGAAGGTGAGTGTGTACACAGGTTCAGTTATGTAATGCACATATTTAACTGATAGCTGTGTGTGATGTCAGCTTGAGTAAATATGTCTCTGAGTATGATAAAAATAAATAAAACATTGTCGGCTTGCCCACACAGAAGGAATTCTATTTTTGGCGCCTGACGTTTGGAATTATCACAAGATGAGAACAGAAGGACAAAACAATATAAAAAACAGCAACAACCAGTCTTTATCCCACTGACTGAGGCAATAATGTTCACACAGGAACACTTCAGCTAGTCTCTGTCAGCCGTCCCTAGGGTCCTTCAAGGATCGTTCAAGGATCAGTAGAGATCAATACATTTAAAATAAAACATCTTTTAGACTTTATTCTGAAATAAAATGGAAATGACTGGATTCTCTTCAAGTTAAATATATTATTGATTCTTTCACTGGGGCCCATGACCAAATGGCCGTTTGACATGTATTAGTCCACAGACCAAAGGAACACACACAAGCTTATCTAGTCCATTTCTAATCTCTCTTTCAGGCATGACCTGCTACAGATGATACCTAATGATACTTTACCTCATAAAAAAGTCCCCAACAGTCAACGTAAACTTCTTTACCCAATGTTACTCTTTTGCAAACAAATTATTATCAATGCGTGTGGGATGTGTGCTTGGGTGGGGGGGGGGGTGGGGGGGTAGTCAACCTGGAAATGTCTAGAAAAGAGGTAAGTATAAAGTGTAAAAACGGTCTACCAGGACTACACAATTGAAGGTTACATTTTCTCACACTCCGGGCAGCAGAAGTATAACAGGAAAATGCAAATATTTACTGCCACGTACATCTATTTAATTCATTTTAATGGAAGTGTTTTCAAACAGTGAAAGGTTAGCTGAGCCGTTGGAGAAGTTCACCTGCCTCTCTTTATTTTATAAAAATCAGAAGAACCAGTCAGATGACAGGGGGATAAAGAACACTCTTTAAAGGGGGACACTTAAAATTAACATCACAAAAAGTGTTGAATAAAAGTGCACTTCAGTCAAGTCCACATTTACATACAATTACTCTGTATAAAAAGAACTGATGACCTGATTTTTTTTTCTTTAGCAGTGTTTAAAACTCTCAAGACCAGGATGGATCTAAAGTGAAACTTTTACTCAACAGTCAATCCTATCAACACTGGAGTCATTAAAGAGGAAGTGGAGCCCTTTGAATCGGCTGACCTGCAGCCCAGATGATCACAAATGAAACAGAAAATGAATGCAACATGCCCTGTTGCCTTGTAACAATGCATTGTGGGTTTCACGTTGCAGTTGTGAGTCTAATCCCAATAAAAGACACTTCCATTTGATTGGACACCAAAAAAGACCCAACTAGGTTCACATTAAGCTAAACTTAAGTGAAGACGGCAGCAACAATAATGCAACTTTGTCACAGCATGATGTGAGCCAGGACATGGTCTGGGTTTAAAAAAAAAACAAAAACAAAAAAAAAAACTGAAGAGCTGAATAGATTGTGATTATCTGAAAACAACCTCTGTTCACCAAGTGCATGTCCACTAATTTCTCAAGGCTGGCAGTTCAGTGTGCTGAACTTGTCTGTCCTTATTATGAAGTGGCCCTGTGACCCAGACACTCAACTGCAAATTGCTTGTTTAAAAAGGAAGGTAGCAAGGATGACAGCTCCCTGCCGAAAAGATACAGACAAAACAGTTCATATAATAATTATGTGAATGAGAGTTCCTACGGCGGTAGATGGTTAAGTCTAGTTTAATTTATATTGTTATATAATTATTTATATGTTAAAGTGCATGGCAGTACGCAAGTACTATTCTTTTTGTTTATTCACATTTACATTACATCATTTCAGCTCCAGTACATCCACCTCCATACTGCATATTCCTGCTACAGGAGCAAATGCAGGGAGAAAAATGAAGAATCTGCCATCCAACTTTTCTGCAGGCATCGAGGTGCTGTTAAAAATAGCCATGAGCTGAACACACAAGTTTCCTACTGCTTACCTCACTCCAGAACCCAACCATGACACACTGCAGAAAAACATACCTGCAAACAGACTAATATACTCTCAATCTGCTCTGATAGTAATGCAGCTGTCTGTAATTTGCCTTAGTGCTAAAGCACAGCTGTCACGTTGAACACCTTCTGCTGCCCTGTTTGGCACACGATGCACATGTCACGCTGCACGAGGGGCAGAATGGAATAGCACCTTCAGGGCTATCAGGAGTTTCTGAGCAGTGAAAAAGCCACATCTGCCTCCTGACTTTGTTGTGCTCCTCGTGTAAAGCTGTCAAAGCAAAGTAAAAACAAAAGAGGAGGAAAGACAGAAAAAGCAAAAAAAAAAAAAAGCCCATTCACTTCAAGCCAGGGTGGCATTCAAATCAAGGGAGCTGATGGTTGCTCGCTCCAGTGCACATTAGCTCGGGGAACTTTGGCATTTGTGCAGCTCAAGACAAGTGGAGGAGATGAGGAGTCCTAGTTACAGGGAGCTGTGCAGCGAGGATGGAAACCAATTTGAGGTGCCAATCTGCTCCAGTTTGAGAGAAGCAAAAATCAGCATAGTGTGGTAAAGTTATTCTGACTATATGTCAGGATATAATTTTCATTTTTTGGTAATAATGATATCTATCAAATATTTCTATAGCAGGGGGTGATAAAATATCTATAAAAGTCCATAGTAACTGGAGTCTAGAGGATCATAGGGGAGTGCTGAGTCGGTGTGACATTGTAATACAACGTGGTTATGCACAAGGCTAATTTTTAATCAGTCTGTCAAGCCACAAGCCATGATACTGACATATACAAATCCTTTTAATATAAAGAAAAAAACACATGCTAAAACAAAATGTATATAGGATAATGGAAAAAGTAAAATACCACGTCCTTTTTCACATAAATTCAAATAATTACTTAAATAAAACAAACAAACAAACAGCTAACCCCTGAAAAAAATCCAAATTAACTACATAAAAGGGATTAGGATATTCATTTATAAAAAGGATGGGAAGGTAAACCAAAGTTATAAACATAGATGTACAAAGTATTGATAAGCATATTGTTTTAAATACAAAAGTCGCATAGTGCTGTTCTCAATAACAGCCCTTCAGCACATCATTGTCATGGAGATGACAGCCCATTTACACGTGCATACCAAACCAAAACACACTCAGTGAAAGAAAGAATAACTGCCCCCAGACTCATGGTCCACAATAGGCAGCTTAGACCACCAATTAAGGCCTCACTGTCCTACATAATCACAGAGATAGTTCAATAGATACTTCAACAACAAACTGTAGACAGACTTCAATCTGTGTGCACCTAACTATTTGCCATTGATTTCAGCACTAGAATACCCCATGGAGCCAAGTCAAGTCCTTAAGTCAAGCTGAGTCTTTTGGAATTATTTTTGCATGAAACAAGGACTCATAAAACCTGATCACACTTGGGCAGGAAATCTCTAGGTCAGTAGGAGAAGAAGGTGCTGTACATGTAGCATTAAGAATGAGTGTGTCAGTTTAACAACAATTTAAAAATCACATACTATGTGAACCCATCTGTTACATGTCAACCTACGTCAGGAGCTGGAAGATCTGACGCAAACGCCATGGCAATTCCACTCACAGTGGTACAGAAAAAAAAAGTGTAAATCATACCCTGTAGCGTGAACACGTTTAAACAAGTGTGATGGCAATAATGACAACCATTCACAATGTTTATGCCAATCAATAATAACATTAGAAATAGTGATTTCCTCTTAATCACATCACAGCCTGAGAAAGGAACTGTTTGTATTATTTATTCAAAATTCAGTAATGATAACTTATTATTAATTGCTTTTATATTTTTGTCAACAGGATGACATTATGCTTTTATATTTTTGTCAACAGGATGAGTCTAATTTATAATGTTTATTTTATTATTTGAATGTTATGGTTTAGTGTGTAGCGTCCAGGAGGGGGCACTGATGATGAGATTTTAGTTCCAAATGCTTTTTCTCAGAGAATAATAATAAATAATAATATTAATAATAAATAATTGGAGTCATCACGTGATGACCTTTATAAATGAACCCAAATATTTTGATGAACTCAAATAGAACTAATAAAAATGTTTCGTATCGACCAAAGTTAATGCTGGTTTTGGTGTAAAGAAAATAAACATGTGCTCTTACCTGTTGGAATGAAACCTAACGAGGTCGGTTGAGGTAGAAAGTAGCGGCCGATGATGGGGTTGATTCTTGCTCAAGGTAGTGAAGTATACGCCTGATTTGTTACTAAAAAAGAAAAAAACAGTTTTTCCCATTTGTACATTTTTCAACAAGGCTTTAATAATTGAATAATCATGCCTGGTGTAGCAAAAATGAGCTAGAGAAAGGTTCGAATAGTTGACTGTTGGCGTTCAGAATTATTAACTACATTTATTAACTACATAAACAGCATAAAGCAACATTTTATTGCAATTTTTCTTCACAAATGCCATTTTCTCTGTAATTTGCCCATAGGAACAAAAAAAAGAAAGAAAAAAAAAGAAGGATCATTCAGCTCAATGGGTTTGTTGTGTTGCTGTAGTCACTGTGTAATTGAGTACTCCTGTTGCAACAAAAACCTAAACTAAATTCTGGCACCCACACTGCTGTAGAGTTTTGCCCGGGCTGCTTAGCTGCTTAAATGGACTTTGCGGAGCCCTACATTAGAAATATCAGGGCTCAGTAAGATGTTCTGGTTCAGTTTGCATTACATGATCAAACATCTAACTGCAGAGACGACCACACAAAGTTTTCATTGCTCAGGTAATCAGCGGATCTCAGGTACATACACCTCGATTCACTGAGCTCTAATGTGGGAAGAATGATTTCCCCTTTGAAACAAACTAAAAGTTGGTCAAAGTCACTGATGTGTTTTCCTGATGAACATAAATTACAATATGACTACCATCAGACCCAGCATGAACGAGCAAAGTGCCAAACAATAACGCTGCTCTTAAAGGTTTTGTAATGAACAGCAAGTAAACACTAAGTATACGGTAAAGTCAAAGTGAGATGTTGAATGGGAGCAAGCAAAAGAAAAAGACGCCAGGGGGAAGAAGACATTTAGACATGGTGAGGGAAGAAGGGGCGACAAAGACTGAAGCAGCAGCTCACAACCAGAGGCACAGCCCACACAGCGTCTGTCATCTTGCTCCTCAGATGGCTCTTAAGCTGTTACCCATGTGACGCGCTCAGATACAGAATATAATAACAGCTGTTTACATTTGCTATCAGCAACTTCATCAAGACAGTGATACAGACTTATGCAAAGTAATAGTTTATGTTCTTGTCCCCGTCTGGTGGACTCCTTAATTAAAATAATACACAAGAATGCATGGCGCATTATGTAAACAAACTTTAGCTGTGATGGATGGCAGGTATACGTTGGAGAATGCTGTTCACAGGGCTCATCCTGCAGCTCTGCAGAGATGGTGCAGCGACTCGTCTCACGAGTTGGAGGAGCTTTAACATTCGTCCCAGTTCTTCACTAACTCTAACCCAATTTACTTGACACTGAGCTGGAGTGTTCACTTTCTCAATGGACGGAGTAGCTGTGTTTAACTAAAGCCGTGCCTGCATATGTGTGTGTGTATGTGTGTGTGTGTGCATAAGACAGAGTTAAAATGAGAGAAAGGACAGAAAACTGTCATGTTTCAACACTCTGCTCTTCTTGGCTCTTTCAATGTCGTCTCCTCTTTCGTTTAATACACACACACACGAACAAACACACATACATCATACCACGCATTTATGCCAGGCAATTGAATTCTTATTGAGTATAAATCTGGGCGGTGACAAATGAGCCTCCAGTTTGCGTTCGCGCCTTATAAACTGACACGTCTTTCTCATGACTGATACCTTTAATTAGCACGGCAGTCTGAGAGACTCACGGCTCTCTGTCTTTCACCTCTTCAGTCAAGACACGCTCACGGAGCAGAGTCGCAGTGTGGTTGCCAAGTTAACTGTAGCTCAAGGACACTATCACAACAAAATCTTAAGGGTAAGTTATAAAACGTTGAGGTTGTTAATGGGTTGGAATATTACACTGTGCTGGGCATATGTTTGGAATCACACTGTATGTATATGAATTTGCATGGGTATTTATTAAATGAAGTTGAGTCTTATATTAGTTTGAAATAATAATAAAAAAAGAAATGACACTAGATATGATTTCATGTTTCAAGTTTGATTTGGTAAACTTGACCATTATTTTAACAAATTAAAATCTCTCTGGTGTCAGGTATCTCGTAAATATTAAACATTGGTCAGGGTTCTGGGACACAAAAACAAAACAAAACAAAACAAAAAAACTGCTAGCTTAAAAAGCAGACAAACCAGCAGGTCTTATGGCCCTGAAGCTGTTCTAAACCACAATGAAGACAAAGCAGTCAGTGTCCTGACCTTGCTGACATTTCAGACACTATATATCTGTACTGTGTATATCTCCTGCTCAAGCATTCATACCTATTCACTCACACAGAACATCCATTTGCAGCACTTCTTCAATCATCTGAGATTACCAGTCCACACACACCAGAAGCAAAGTGGGATGACAGCTCATACCCAGGGACACATCACCACAATAGAAATGTTTGAAATCCACGTTTCACTACCCTCACCATGAAAGAATGCTTCATATTTGATGGAACTATTTAAGACATCTCTAGACCCAACAGGGAACCTCTGTGTACACGTGGGACTTTTGGAATAGTTCAGGTCACAGGGGTCGTTGGTAAGCCCCTCATTGGTGAGGTGGGGAACTTGGATAACTTTGCTCCTGAACTAATGACAGCATTGGGTGAACCTTTAAACCTTCATGGTTAAAGTATCTCGTCAGTGCTGCATGCAGTTGGTGTCACATACAGTTCAGGCATGCAGCACGTTGACAGTGTAGTGAAGCCCTCCAGACATTTGTTGGAATTTCAGCTCATGCACACAACAGCACTGTGCCGCATCTGTAAATAATGCAAATATGTTCTTCCAAAATAAGACTTCATATTTGAATTGAGATGAAGTGATAGCAGGTGAAATTGGAAAAACAAGTCAGAAATCCCAGACTTTTCTTCTACTGTGAGAAAAAAAAAAGATCTTGTCATTTCTGTGGCCAAATTGAGCCTTTTGGGGAAAACCTCAAAGGTTGGCCTAGAAGAATTCAAAAGACCTCCAGGAGACAAAGAATGGTCTGTGCTATGTTCTCTAATGCTCTGTTGTCTTTTCTGGCCATGGCTTCTTGGAGTATATACTGTGTGTGCAGGTTACATCAATTGATTCTTTCTATCTATTGATATGAATTTGTTTGGATTTTTCCAGTATCATTTAAAGAAACATTAATATTAAAATATGTTTTGGATCTATTGTAAACCTACAAACTGTAACATTCTATAAAGAGCAGTGACTTTATAGGAAGTAACATTAGGACAGAGAACTATAGATTCTATGGAAATATATATAATAACTTTATCTAAAGACAAATCAAGACATTTAAATAACATCAGCTTTATTATGTCGACATTAAACTGGATAGTATTGCTGCAAAGTTTACTTCTGCAACAAATTTTTAATATACTATAAATACAAAAATATGTTTTTTTGAACTGTGCTAGATTTTACTCCCAGTAAATTTTAGTACAACAATAGAAGTGGCATAGTAAAACAATCTGAATGTGAAAACCTGAGCAGCAGAAGAGCTACTGTTAAAACTAAAACGTGGCAGCCTGGCAGCTCATCCCGTCCCTGCTTAATGAGTCTGTGTCTGATCAACCCAGTGAATTCTCTTCCTTCCCACTCTCACTTAGTCTTATGCTCCCCCTTTAATCATCCTCTGTCTTCTTCCTCCCCTTGTCTCTCCTCCAACCTTTCATTTTCCCCAAACATGCAGGCATGTGCACTCCAGCACCAGTGCTCCTCACATTTAGGCAGGCCTTTACAGGGCCAATCGCAGCCTGACATTTTGTCTCACAGTTCAGTGCATACTTTTCCCACTGGGATCTATTAAGTTATAGCAGTGTGTGAGCCAGGGAGAAAGGAGAGCCAAGCTTCTGAGTGGATTAGTTAATCAATAATACAGGGAAGCGTTAAAACAGATGGATTCATATGTTGATGTAGAACAATGGCCGGGAGCCTGGGTGCTTTCACAAATCCCTCAGGTATTGATCATGGCAAACGGTGGGTGGACATTTTTTTTTACCTCCCCGTGTAATTGTTGCTCCAATGCGCTTTTGATATTTATACAAGTCAACTGTGAAAGCAAGGCATTAGTCAGCGACAAAGACAATAGAAAAGAAAAATGAATGACATTATAAGAACCTGCCATTGTTTTTACTCTCCTTCACATACAGTTATTCCTGTCTCACTATGACCTTTGAGGACACCGTGACCCTGGAATGATTTTTTTTGTCCTCATGCAAATGATACTCTACAAATCTCTGGGGAGTAAAAAAATAGGAACTAAGCTCATTATCATGCAACTTTGCTGCATCACTGCACCAGTGAAATGCTGATACCTTGGCTAACATCTGAGTGAACCTATTCTGTTCAGCCTATTTCTTTGCAAGATACTCTGGCCCCTTAAGACCCCCAGGGGACGCTAAACGCCATCTCAATTGAGGCTCATGGTGGAACGCTACAGATGATAAAATGAAGTGTAACGCGGGAAAGTAGTAACAGTAATCTTGAGCCAGAGGGCAATTATATTTCATTGCAAAGTGAACAAAGAGGGGCCTCAGTGTGGGAGTTGTTGAAAATGTAGCACAGAATGAAAATGGGACGATAAAACATTGTGAGGTGGTAGGTAAAGCAGATTGACTGGGCTGCGATGATCATAAAGAGCAGTGAAAACATGCTTTTCAATAGACCTGTATAAACCATTTCTGATTTATATACACCTAGTACTGTAACGTGACATGTATGTGGCACTGGCAATAACCCAGTGCAATGAAAAGGGAAATTTGAAGGGAACAATGCAGTGTGCCATCTGTGACACACTACACCTGATTTCAATCATGCACATGAAGAATTCTAGGGGTTATTTTTGTTAATTTTAGTGAAGCAGTGTTCTCAACAGTATTAATTACTCACAATTTGACAACTGTGTCAGTCAGCCTGTATGCCGTGGACTTGCTTACTGTCCTGTGCTTAGTGAGGCTGTTCTGATGCTAGCCAGGAATCTGTCATGAAGCTGAAGCCTCCACGCACACATGCTGGGGATAGAGATAGAGGTATTGAAAACACCAGATACTCTGTTGTGT